TTACGTCCACGCATATGGGTTGGACAAGAGTACATGTGGTACCCCATGTTCACACTCTGTATCATGAACATGCTGTATCTAATAGGTGGCCTCCAACCTGGACCCGGACTCCATTTAGGGTTCACAAAGTTTCAAATTGTGTTAAAGCAGAGTTGGGGTTTATTAAACTTTGCCCCAAAAACTGAGGTGGGCTGAAGGTGCATGTGAGAACGCAAAAGTCTGAGTGAGATGCTCCGGATTATCTGCAGAGTTTCTCTGCCTGGCTAGTATAAAGTCAGGAGAATCTGATGTGTGAACAGAGCAGGGGATCCCCACTGGATTCACCACAATCGGGTGGGGGGGGTTGATGCCGCTTATAACACGACAATATTAAAAAAAACAATAAAGAAAACAAATATCTCAAAATGAGGATGTCAAGAGAGTTTGAAGTGATAAGAGCCGACACTGGTGTCGGTGTGTTGTAGAAAATCACGTGGTTTCTGCAGCGCAGTTAATACGTCACTTCCTGCCTCTGGCTGCTGCACTCGACGGCTCCACTTTGTTGCTGTTGTGAACGTGTCTGTGAACCTCCCTCTGTGTTGTGAATGTGTGAAAGGCAAACTGCGGATAAACTACGTATCCAATTCCCTGGATTTTACCCACAGGTCATGTCAGAAAAGGGCTATAGTCATTTGATGGGCAACCATTGATTTTTCTTTTATCAAGGTGGGGGGTTGTTTTAACCCTCCTCCCATCCCCCTGCTCTAAAGCAATCGTGCACTGGCCCACTCAGCTAAGCAGACGGCAATAAGTGTGTGAGTTATAATGACAGGCACAGCAAGGAGTCTCTGCCTTGTCAGGCACCTCCTCAGATGTTTTTTGCCCAACATAATGGCTCCATAAATCCTGAATAGTCATTTAAACCAAAGGGGCCATGTTGTTTTTAAGGTCACAAGTGGAAGGAATTAACTTTTAAATCATGCCAAAACTAAAACAATGATTTTTTGGCTGTGGTCTTACAACGTCACCCTTAAACCTGGCAAAAAGTAAGATGCATTCATAGTTCCCCGTCACTTTGGTCTAAAATGTGCTTCTAATACTGTTAATGGATTTGACTGCAACATAATGTAGCCTCATGTCAAGATCTGTGATAGAGCTCTCATCACAGGGTCGTGCCTGGCTGCTGATCATCTCCATAAGTGCCTCGGTCTGTGCCAAAGACTAAATGAGAGACAAGTCACTTCTCAGAGATGAGTTATTGGGAGCTCGTGGTGGAACGCAAAGCCAGGTCGTTTACACAAAATTAGCCAAGTGGTTAGCATTCTTTATGCTCCCTCTATAGTGAACTCGCTATGACCTGGCACAGAGTGCGTCGTCCAATGTATCTGTCACATCCTTTTTCTCTCTGAACAGATGCAGGTATTAATAGGGATCCTCCGGGTTGTGGGCGGTTAGAAAGGTTAATGAATCTGTAGCCTTAAGCAATATGGCACTAGATCCCCTCTGCATGGAAAACAAGGAGCAGCAGACCCTCCCCGAGGCAAGCAGATGGGTCCTGTGGCACTGACCATAGTGGGTTGTCTGTGCCAGCAGACTAGAGCTCTAGTCCTATAAATCCTGCAACAGTTTTTTCTAATAAGATCACTTTCTTTGCTTGAGTACTTGCTGTCAATCATGATTTAATACTTTAAATCATCAAATTAATATTTAATACTTTTTCTTCAGATCCGTGCTTCATCGGTCCTCAATGGATTAAGACTCGACACAATTAATTTGACTTAAATGCATGTACTTGTGACATGGTTGTCAAGCCAAAAATATGTAAAAGAAAACAGAACAAGTGCAGTGCGGATCTGCCTCTGGGTTGTGGAACATCCGTCTTGTCCTCCTCAGGCGCTGGCCTCAGTTATATGAACATTTTAGGCATCACACCTGTGAGTCACCCTTTGCTTTGGATTCCCCAGATACCTTAAATTTCACACTCTGCTGCAGGGGCCTCTATACATTGACATCACTTATTTATGACTCAGCATGCTAACTTTTTGTTTTATAGTTAAATGTTTCTGCGAGGAGGTGACTGAGGAAAGTGTCCAGATAGAAAAAGACCAGAAGGTTTACACGTAACAACAGAAATTGGGATTTATCAGACTTTGACTTTAAAAGCTTTTCACGTGTCCCTGAAATCTGTCAGTATGTTTTCGTTAAGGTACTTTGATGGAGTAGAACGTGTGGTTAAGGTGGTGATTAATATGGCAATCTGGAACGAATCATTGAGAATAAGATATGAGTATGGCATTTATTCAGGCATTTAAACAATATTAAGTTGAACACCAATACCTGGACATCAGGACTGTGCGTCGTGACCAAAAGTAACCAAAGTAAGTCTGTTGCAATAACAACTTTTTGGGACACTGAAAGGTCAATGCTGGAGTGTTGAGGTTTTCCTTTACGCATTACTGCCATACAGAATTAGCCCAGAAGAATTCATCATTCCCAGCTCCTCAGAGAGACAGAAAACCCTCCCCAGCAGCACCCGTCTCTTTTCATTAAAATTTTAAAGGCCTCTGGAGTTACATAAGGATATGCCCTGGGCTGCCATGCTTGTTGTTGCAGTCTCAGCAGGCATGAGTGGGACCAGCAGAGGAGGAGGAGGAGGAGGGAGATGTTACAGGAACATGGCTGGGGTTTTAAGCCTCCCGTGACTCAGCTAGCTTCACCGGAGCAGTTGCTGGTGAAGCGAAGAGTTACACATGGGTTCATTGCTCAAGAACCTGGGAAAAGTGAGAGACAAGGGTGTGACAGCGAGACACGGAGGCAGAGATAAGAGGAAAAAGGTGTTTTATCAGTAAAACTCGATCTGTGTTGCCATGGAAAAGGTGAGACAGACAACCTTCTACCTAACCTTCAAAAATACACGTTCCTCAGTCATTTTGCAAGTCAGTCAACTACAATCTGCCCGCTACCAGCCACAAAGTCAACAAGTCATTCAGTCAGCGAGCTGCCAGTCCCAGCCAGCGTCCCTGTTAGAGACGTGGTTGTAAATCTGTTTATCCTGCACATAGTTGTTGCTTAACCAGGTTTACCAGAAGTTTGAAAAGGTCCAGCAGGGGCCACTTGCTGACCCCCGCTTGTCTTGCGCTGTTGTTGGATTTATTAGCTACCGTAAATATTTGAGAGAGGTCTTCAGGGAGTTGTTGCAGTGATGCAAGCTCTCAAGCAGAGACTCCATGCACTCTCCACTGTTTACTTTGTAAACGTCACCATGTATGTGGGAGCTCGGGGGAGACATGCAGCGCTGTCAGCCAAATAAGGAGTAGTGAGTTTTGTATCACAGGAGCAGAGTTGTATGCTCAGTGTGGAGCTAAGGTGTCTGTGCTTTCCCGGGTTGGTGTTTCTGGCACTGGTGGCTATTATAGAAAACAGAGGGTACTACTTGGTTTTCAGGCATGCACTGAAGTCTGGATATTTTCCTGAACTCCTCTTGAGGGGCTGTATGTGAGAATGCAAATGTCTGATTATTTCCTGGAACTTTTCCTGGCAACGCCCTATTAAACGTTATGAACATTCACAGCGCATAAATAAGCATGTGAATGACCTGTCCAACATGTGATGGATGCAAAACCTGAATAATTCAAATATCTCTTAGAAGAATGAATATTGACACACATTCATCAGGTGGTCATCGCCACACTCCGAATGCATGCTAACGTAGCTAGGATGTGGAAATATGCAGCTGTTTGCTCACAACTTCAGGTCAGTGTTGTGTTTACACTTTGATTCTACTGACTATCAAAACTATAAGAACTATAATCATTTCATGATTTATCACCTCCGACGAGGAGTTTTCTTTGCCAATGGTTTGTTTTTTGCAAATTACCACAAAACTTGGTGGGAGGATGGGACATGGACCAAAAAATAACCTAGTAAATTTGGGGAGGATTAAATTTAGGGGATGGATCCAGGAATCTTTTTTCACTTTTGAGATGTGTTTTCACTGATTTCCCAGGGATTTATAGATCTTGATGATAAATAATCAGGCTTTTGAATTAAAATATGTTTTCATAAGGAGACTGTTAAGCCTTGGCAACGCTATGCACCACTCTAGTATTAATAATGAATTTTCAAAAAAGCGACACAGATTTATCTTCTGTATCTCTTTTAAACAAAAAAGAAAGAAACAGATGGGATTTTTTTCCCAAGAAAGCTGACCCCCTACTAAATACAGTCTCAGCATATATATCTACATAACGTGCACCTTATCTGCACACTCACACTGAAGCCAATAAAAGTTGGAGTCATGTTCACTGCGCCTCTTTGAAACAAATTACAGAGTGGTCTTGGGAGTTGCTGTTCTTTCATTTATTTCCCCACATACCCACAAAATTAGAGCCAAGCTCCCACAGGATCTTCTCCATGATCTCTGACCAATTGTTGATGATAGCTTAATTAAATATAGAGATTAAAACAAAATCAAACAGACACTTTATCTCACAGAGAAACTTTGTGGGCTGGGCTGCAGTGCCAACAGCAAATCAAGACATTCACTTAAATTATAAAGTTTCCTAAACCCTTCCAGCTACCATGTGATGAGTGTGTTTATGTTGCTGGCTGGTGGTCTGAATCACTTCTTCTTCAGTTTTCCTTCCCTGGCAGTGTGATGACAGTAAATGCTGAAAGCACAAATAGTTGTTTCGGTTGTCATGGCTCAAGCTGGAGTCACCAGTGTGCTACTCTTAAATATTAAAGTGTCAGGTCTGAGAGATGAGGCAGGCCATCTTTGGGTGATGCCAACGTTTCCTGTCAGAACTGATAAGTCAGCTGTGGTGTTCGTGTTCCTCACCATCCTCCAGATGAACCCATCGCCACATCTATCATCTCTTTTTACTTTTGTAGTTGCAAGTTGTTGTTGCGTTACAAGTTTGGATATAGATCTGTTATTCACGCTCGTGTTTCATCTTTTTCTTTTAAACTTGTTTTTGGATCAAACCTAAAGAATCTGCTTCTCTCTCTTCTCTCCACAGATCCAAAATGACTTTTACTAAGTGGCCACTGGTCGGAGCTTAGCACTGATCCATCGCAGAGCTACTACGAGTGGATGAAAACCAGCAGCTTTTAATCCAGAAAGGATTCCTCTTCTCTGTGATAAGAGTCTACTAACTGTGTGTAAGGACCACTGGGAGTACAACAATCAAGTCAAGGACACGTTCCCTCGCCCCCCCTCCCCTCATCCTACAGGAAGATGAGAGTGAAAAAATAAAGCTCTGAAGTCCAGGAGCTTAATGAAAACCAAAGAATCTTAGCAAGTAGCGTGCATTTGTTTATGTCTGTGTGAGAGGATCCAGTAACCATGTGGACGCTAGCTGTGACTGTCCACTCTCTCCTCGCTGCTGTGCTATTATTGGCCGCCTACTTCCAATCAGGGATGGCCACGGAGGATGATGTCACACCGCGCATCAGTTTCCCGTACAGTAAGTCTAAATGAATACCTGACACACTTGTTATCAATATTTCAACTGTGTATGCCTGTATATGCCACATTTTTATAATGTACCAATTTTTTTTACACCTCTCATAATAACATAAGTGATCTTTAACTTGGTGTTTTGCTGCATTGTATAGCTGTGTTATATGCTGTGCTTGTGCTTTTGTCCATAAAGTTTTTACTGTCCATGCAAACAGTCAGACCTCATGGTTTATGCTACAGTTGTGAGCAAGTGGCATGCAATGTAGTTCTCTCGCACGCAACAACATAACTCTTAGGTCTGTGTAACTGTCATGTGAAATCTTTTGCTCGTCCACCCCGCGACCATAGCTTGTGCTTTTCATAGTTGGTGTTTTAAATTAGCTAGCTTGAAAAATAAAGTCACTTGGGGCTTTTCTACCATCTCAAGTTTACGCTAGCGCCGTCTCCAGCTGAGAAGTCGGCTCCAACAGTTACAGTTTAAGCTGCCAGAGTCGACAGTTACTATCAAGAACTGAATAGCTGTTTTTTTTTCTTTATGTCTGTCTGAAATCAATGATCTGTAGTTTAAAGATTCCTAAAAAATTATTTCTTTGTAGATTGTGTTAATATGCTGTGCGATAATGGGAAGCTTGACAATTGTAACAACAATTTAAGTGAGTGGACTAGTTCTGAGTGAAATACCACACAAGTAACATCATTTAGGTCAATGGTGAAGAAATACAACAAACACAGCTGTGTATTTGTGATGTGTAGTGAAGCAGCCACTGCAACAGTGTATTTGTAAAGAGGACAAATGCCTGTAGGCCCTGACGTACACACACACACACACACACACACCAATTTGAAGTTGCTTGCGCTACAAACATCACCCCTCTAAAGTGCAGGCAATTATTTGAAGATTAGATGTCACTTTGTTACAAAATTTGCTGTTTTTGTTGTTTTTACACCCTGAGCCTTGACGGGGAGAAGTATGCTCGGAATAACATGCTCAGACTGATGAAGAAACAAAGTGCGACAGTTTGTAGGCCCCAAACTGTTGCACAACACATATAGTCTGACGTCATGCAGTACTCAGCTCACTTTGCTCTTCCACCCTTTGGAGTCTAATTCCACCTTTTGATAATGTTCAGCAGATTGCAACAGTCGACCTCACAAATATAAACCTTCCGTGTCTCCCGGTGAATCCACTGAGTGAATAGAAGACCCTTTTTTTTCACCTGACTTCACCACTGCATGTAATTATTCCCCCACACACTGCAGCACTCCTCATTATAATTCCTGTGGATTAAGCTTTCATAATTTAAAAACATGTCAACGTTTCTTTGTCTTTGTTGAGCTGACAGCTTTCTGGGTAATTGATTGATGCATTGTGGGAGCTTATGACAAATGCAGGAGGGAGTCAGGGAATCAGGTTGTTGTTTGGCAGACTGGGAAAATTGCTTTTCTGGGAAGTGTCACTTAACACTTATTTTTTTAACATCCTATGTTGTAGCTGTAAAAAAGGACTGTTCATCATCATGTTTCTTTAAATTGGCTCTCTGGTTCCTGTATGTTTAAGTCTGTGGTGTCAGAAGTACTCACACAGGCAAATATGCCGATCCAGCAACAACCAAAGTACAGGTTTATGTGGATGCAGGGGTGTTTCGGCTCCTATAAACACTGCCTGTCTGTGTTTGAAGTTCCCTCCCTCTGAAAACAGCAGTCTGATGTTTTCTTCACTCCTCAGCCAACTCAGCGAGGCAATGTGCCGTAATGCACCGTCTCCCACTTTGGCATCGCTCATACCCCGAGAGCAACCTTTCACATACTTGAGCCATTTAACTTGTTTCTCAAAGAACTAAATGGATTAAATTGGCCCAAAGCTGGTTCCCAGCAGCTAAGTGTTAAGCAAACCTCTGATGTTTCTCTCTCCCCTCCCTCACTTTGCTTAACTCCATTGAGTGTTCCTAATCTAAAATTCATGATTGAGATCATTGCGGCTTGAGAGCATAAGTAGTAGTGTAGACAACACACTTTTCAGCTGATGATTTGGTGTAAGAACATGCTTTTAAAACATCACCGACACTGAGAGCAACCTGTTTTCATTAAGAATACAGCTTAACATAAACAGGGTCTGCAGCATCGCTGACATTATATACAGTACATTCCACATATACACCACAGGGCTGTGCAGAAATATCGTTACAGCTAACTATTGCAATATTTTTTTCCTCAATAGAGTATCAATCGTCCTGCCTCCTTTGTTTAAACATAAATGTGAGGATAGCGGTGCAGAGCGGACTCGCACTCAGAACGATCGGTGGTGCTGCTGTGGAAAATGTGCACTGATATAAACAGAAGTGGATTTGCTGCGTTGCAGTGAGGAGAAACAGATGTGTAAGCATGGAATAAGCCATAGGTGCTTTGTAACCGAAATGACACCATTGTGTTGTGATCATGTCCACGTTTTTTTTAACACCATTCAAGACAGTTATATACAATGTACATCAAGATTATACACAGTAAATCGTATTTAAGGCTTTAATTTTATATATAGCGATATGTATTGAATTGTATGCATGTAATGTAATTGTAATTTGTATATATCGTATATAGCGAACCATGTACCATGATCAAAGTCGATGTATTGAATCTTCAGGTCTTTGCCAATACACAACCCTATAACTACAGTTTAAGGCAGATGTCTGATACTGAACATGTGAAGCGGCTCACCACTTAAAATTTCTCATTTCTCTAGTCTGTAGGAAAAAGGGGACCTGAGCTGTTTTCTCGAGTGAGGACCATTTTTTTCCTGGAAAAACGACCCTTTTCTTTTTGTCCGTCTTCTCTCCCTCGCTCCTTCCTTCTCTGCTAATGAGCGGGCTAATCTCTCGTGTGCAATGAGTGGAGGTTTTTGTGGTCGCTGCAGTCGGAGAGCTTGTCTGTTTTTCATTATGACTCTTGTGCAGAGAGGCAGCACAAAGGATCATGGGACTTATAGCAGCAAGCATTGGTTAGGCATGCGGCATGTAACACTGCTGGTTATCAGAAAGTCCACTCGGGCCGGATGCTGGTGTCTTCAGTCCAGGGATGTGCAGAGGAGGGGCATTGTTTTACTTTAGTTTTCTCTCACGTGGAACAAGTGAGGGGAGTGAATCAGCTTCAACACTTAATAAGAACAGTTTACCTTAATGAGCTGGTGAGAGCGTTTGGCAAGCTCACTGTTGTTCCTGCTGTTTAAAGCTGGGACTCAGGTGCATTAACTGTATTCTACTGTCACTGGGAATAAGGTTGCATTATATTTGCTGTCTTGCAAAGAGTTTGAAGTGAGAAACGACGTCTCTCTCATGTGTCTGGGCAGTAGAGAGCAAAAGGCCCATTTAAGCTGAGCTGTTGAGCGCGCTGCGTATGCTCAGTGTACACGGTGTCCTCTCCCGTTTACGTTTGGTTTATGTTCAGCGAATATTGTGCACTTTCCCTCATGCATGCTAATCCGGTGACCTTGGCAGTGTGTGGATCGCAGTGCAGGAACGGAGGAGGGGCAGAGGGAGAGAAAGGGAGGGGGCACGTCAGGCCAAATACTCGTGAGGTTTTAGACATGCTCCGGTGCCCACCTAAAACCCGGCATGGACACGCCCATCGGTCCCGAATGAAAAGCTTCGGCTTCTACCAGAGGTGGCACTCTCAAGTGCCCGCATGTAACGCCACAACAGCTGCAACAATGGGGCGTAATCACAGCACATCAACTCCGTGTGTTTCAGACGTTCTAATGGCTTCGTCGCCTGCACGCTCCAGGGAATGTACAGAAAAGTTCAGTCCCCGCAGATCTCAATCAGGAGCGTTTGATTTGAAGTAAATGGCGAGTGGCGAGGAGTAACGGTGTAGCTGGTAATCGAGATGGACAGAGAGGAATGTGAGGTTAAACAGTGTCAGTGTGTGTTTTTGGATTCCTCTGATGCACTGTGGATCGCTCCAAAACAAAAAACTTTACTTCCTGATGACCAAAGTTGCTGCGACACAGAAAACATAATTTGAATTCGTCTTTTTTGCAGCATAGTGATTTATTCAGCATTGATATTTCTGTAGCTCTGCATCGCCATGGATTGCTCTTAAAGCAAAGTCACACAACAAACTGTTTTTTAATAACACGTCTGCTACTTTTAAAAAGAACTTTCTCCACAAAACATTAAGGATTTAAAATGCTGTTGAATAAACTCCTTGCTTTGATCACTGTGCACGTTATTTTCCCCTAAGAGCAGAATCAATATCTGACTTACTTGGTATTCTGCTCACATTTTTCACACCTAAATTTTTTTTTATCATGTTTAGCTGGTTTAACATAAATTACTAACTCACTGTCGCACTGCAGCCTCCACCACTCACACGGTGTGTCTGAGGTTAAAACTGAAACCAGTCACACACTCACAGGGTTGTGATGTTGAAACTGATTTTGTGTGCTGGTAAAGAATATGACAGGGTGGTGCTTTGGCCTCCTATTGTTATCATGGAAGATTCTTTCCTGTGCACTGTTTTTCTCCACTAATGCATTGATGTGTTAAAATACAGATATAAATATACCAAAGGAGGGTTTAAAATATATTAATTCCTTTTAAAATATATCACTGTTACCATTATAATTAGCTCATAATAAAACCACACTATGAATATAAGTGTGTCCTAATATATCTTTCAGTTCCAGGTTCCACATTAAGAGTCGAGGCAGAAGTGAAAGGGTTACAATCTGCCGTCTCGTGTATCTTTAAAATTCAGAACTTTCCTGATTCAGTTCCAGTATGTTAATACACTCCACATGCCTCGTGTTGCTGCTGGTGGGTGTGTGTGAAAAGAGAGAGAGAGTGCGTGTGTGTGTGTCCCTGTGAGGCCTGGTTGGTTGTCTGGGCTGTACACTGAGCTGAGGGGTTCAATTAAACTTTCTGATTTTACAGTAAGTGACAGCCTACTGTGCCTGTGATGCTCACAGACACAGGAGAGCAAGGTTTGTTCTTATTTATATGAGTGAGTCCA